CTACGCAAGATACATTGGTAGCTTCGAAATCTACTCAACACTAATAAAGATTAAAATTAGAAGAATTAAAAGGCAAAAATGAACAGGGCCACGTAAAAAAGTTTTTGATTATATACACCAGAATGGACTCACACTGACAAATGCTTACGGTACAAGAAGCGAACCATAGGTTTAGTTTAACCACTAGACTATTCGTCTTATCTATCCCAGAGTTAAATACATGCCAAATAATTATGTTCGGCTCTCGCCTAGATTTCATCAACGGCCCCAACTATACTTGTCCCAAAGACTTGTATGCCCAAATACAAATTAGTTAGCGCTTCATTGTCCTATATGAAGATAGTAGCTCATCATGAACTTGGGTTTCGTTAAAATAAACGAGCAGCGAAGGATATATAGAAAGGCCCTCATAGTATATGAGAGATGAGAAAACTAGTATGAGACAATTTGCCATAGCAAAAATAAGACTTGAACTTATCCAGCCATCTAGCTTGAAATAAATTACATGTAGTTAAGCGCCAAGAATAATGTATTATCGAGCATATGATTAGTAACGGTGAAGGATATACACATAGAAATAAATAATCAGAGTCAGAAAGGTCAGTTCCACATCTATCCGACCATGAGGCGCTTTCTCCCACGGGCTCTCACCTCATCGAGCTTGGCCACAATAGCCCTAGCCTCTCTGCACGCATTCACACTCGCCTTGGGTGCCGTATCAATCTCAAACACCCGTTTTTTCTCTTGAGTAGGAAAATCCCCACTGATTTCAGAGACACCTCTCTTCATACCCGGAGTGGAGACGGCTTCTGAGCTGATTTGTGCCTTGCCAGAGGCCTGGTTCTTCATTACGACATAGAACTGAGTATATTCAGTCAACAAAGCCTGGAAAAAGACTTCCGGACTCATAGGCAATAGCGCAGCCTCCCCCTCTTCGCAACACACACTACCCTCGCAATTGCTGGTTCCGAGGTACCGGAGTCCCGGCGCCGTTACAGTTGTGCCGGCCGATGAGGCTGGTCCAGGGAAGCGAGGTAGGAGGCTTGTGATAGCACGCTCAAGGACATAGAGATCAACGGCCTTTTCTTCGACAAGGCGTTGAGCAGCAGTGTGCGAAAGTGCAGACGCCAGACCAAAGTCAATCAGCACTAGCCGAGGCTCGGAGAGTCCAGCGATCACCTCAGGCGAAGGCTGAAATAATGACAGATTAAAAATTAGAATATCAGAGATTAAGGAAGCCGAAACGAAAAATCAGGAAGGTAAGAGAAGAATGTTTTACAGCAAAAGGAATACTTAAGTGACTTTGGAAAAATTAATCGCTTATTGGCGTAGTCCATCCATGGCGTCTACTGTTTGCTCATTCGTAAATGCTATTTAACTATAATGAGTGTGGAGTATAGTGGTAAAAAAATGAAAATACGAAGAATAACTGGGTTTACATGAATATGCTGAGATAACATTGTTGGAGAAACTGTCATGTCTTATGGAAGTGCGTAAAAAAGAGATTCGAAGGTCGATCTCA